AAGTTGCCAGTTCCAATTCTGGTCGCTAAACGAGGACGAGCTGCATCAGCTCGCGTTATAGGAAGAGGCGAGGTAGCCCAGCGGTGAAGATGCTCGCCTCCCACTTGGAAGGTTGAGAGTTCAATCCTAGGTAGACAGATGTTTTTCTATCAGGGCTCAAAGAGAAAATATTTGCTATGAACTCTGCGTAGGAGTTGGGGAGGGCGTCCAGACAGCAAATGTTCAGCTCCATCCAGTCACCCCAACTCTACCCTGAATTAAGGGATTCAACTGGGCAGCCGCTGGTCTGGAATGGCATACGGTCTCCTGCTTGAGTTGGAGGTTGGACTAGAAGACCTCAAGGTCCCTTCCAGCTCTGTTATTCTCTGTTTAACACACACAGAGTATCTTTTTTGGAGCAAGTAAGGGTTTCCTTCCTCCCTCGAGAGGCAATGGACCGTTTTTTTTACAAGGGAACGCCACCCTACACTTAAAAAGGAGAGGCATGCTTTGAGTTACACTGACACAACAGCCATGTGTGTTAACTTCAAAGCCATGGGAGAGGAAAGGCAGAATCGCTGCAACAGGCCTAGAGAGATGGCAATCTTTTCTCCTTGCAGGAAATGGAGAAGGGGGAAAAAAAAATAGAAGCTGTTTCAATTGTACTAAGGTTTGGTGCTGAGCAGGGGAAAAGACCCGCTTGTTCCTAATTAAGATTTTATTTTTCATCAAGGACGACAGAGATACTGACCCCAAGGACGGTTACAAGAACAACAAACGAGGAAATCAAGAGAGGCAGATTAAAAAAAAAAAAAAAAAGAGGAGGGGGAGGAAGATTAAGCACCCGCTGATTTGGAAAGGGGAAGACTTTGAAAACACATCTCTGCCAAGCCACAGTGCGAGGTTCAGGATAAAAATGGAGGCAAAGATTAAACTCTTATGGGGAGGGGTCTTTCTCCCTCCCCTTTTTTAGTTCCCCTGGCTTCTCTTTTTACCTTCCTCTCTGTCAGAATGTCCCAGAAACCTGGATAGTCCAGCCCATTTCAGAAACAAGTCAGATCGTAATTACCGTTGTGATTTCACTTGGCTTTTCTTAATGGCCGAGTTGCCCATTGGGGACGTTAAACGGGGACTGTCTGTATTCCCGCTCTAGGCAGCTCCCCCCCCCCAAGCTCCTCTCCAGTTTCCCGTGTTTCCTACCCAAGATTCATACCTAAGCCGGTCAAAAACGAGGATCGGGAGCGATCGTGGTTTCGTAGGCAGGATTCAAACCAAGTTAATTGCAGAAACTGCAGATAGACCGTGCTGCATAACAGAACTCACCAGAGTAAACTTTGCATCCAAATAAAAAAAAAAAGGATAGGTTTTCCTGCCTGAGCAGGGGGTTGGACTAGATGACCTCCAAGGTCCCTTCCAACTACTATTATTATTATTATTATGGCACAGTCAGCCAGGTGTTCAGACTGGATTTGGCATTTTGTCTACCTATCGAGTCCTTACCCAGGACCTGGGATAGGCAGATGTGGATGTTTGATGGTATTACAGGCATCGTCGCAGGATGGAAGCAGTTCCTAGTAAGGCCGCCTTTTGCAATTGACTAATAGCGAATTTGTCAACGCCAATGGTGTTCAAGTGGTGCTCCAGTTGTTTTGGGATTGCACCCAAGGAGCCTATTACTATTGGTACTACCCTTGCTTGCTTTTATTATTATTATATTATGATGATGATGATGATGATGACAGCTCAGTTTTGATTATAAATTGAGGAGCGCTTGGAGGGGGGGAAGCCATTATTTTTTTTAAAAAGGGCACCCACTTTCAAAAGATGAATGTAAAACCTTGTTTAATGATCAAAACTGTTCCCCCCCTCCGAAAGATTCAACATCAAAGCCTTCGAGATTGGCATCCAACCCTTTTTTTTTTTTTTGTACCCAGTGGGAAAAACCACCCACCCACCCCGCTCATCCCTTGGGAACCGTTGCCCTCCACGGCGCTGGATAATTAAACACCCCTCTTTAAACAAATGAATAGGTAAGAAATAAAATTAAATCCCAATTACTTTCTATCTCCTTTCCCCGTGGGCAGCTTTGCATATTCCTTCCCCCAGCCCTGCAAAAAAGCTCAACCAGTCTCTCCCCCCCCCCCAACTCTGCATTTTTCAAGTTTCTATGGCGTTATCTCCAATTAGATTTCCGAGACGAATCCGCGCCTCGCTGTAGCGGGTTATTCATTCAATTGAAATCAAATTACCAATAATTTGCAAGCTATCAAGCAGCCTGAGCTGCCTTGTGGAGGTGGGGTAAGGGGGGGGGGCAAAGAGGTCTCCTTTATAAATTACTAATAATTAAAAGAGAGGAGGAGGCAGGCAGGGGACCTTCCAAGCAAGCAATGGGGCATCGCCTTCCATTTTAACCTTCTCCGCTGCTTCTCCTCTTACGCACAATGGGAGGTAAAGAGTTTAATAAGGTGAGCCAGATGGGTCCTTCAACCCTCAAAGCTGAGCGTTCCTCCTCCGGCAGGAGGCAAGGATGGGGGAAAAAAACCAAGATCTGCTAAGGAAACAGCCTGGCTTGGAATAACATCACCATCCCTACAGATGGGGAAAAACCAGGAATTCCGGAAGCGAACAAGAATACCGAAAAAATTGGATTAATCGACCCAGTTCTTTCATTTACCCTTTCTTAGACCAATGACCAGCGACACGAGAAAGGCTTAGTGTTTATAAGGAGGCATCTAAACCAGCTTCCCAACCGCAGATGGATTCAGTTCTGGGTCTTTTAGGTGGCACAACACAGTCCAAAGATACCGATTCTGGACGCCTTTCAGGCGGGAGAACAGGAGAAGGGTTACGGAAAGCCGGGAAGAAAAAACAAGAAACCGCAAGAAGGGTTTTCGGAAGCCTGGTCCACAGCACTGTAGGTCCTGCTGGGACTTGAGGGGTTCCACAAGAGAGATCAAAAAAAGGTTTACTCAAAAACTAGCCATGTTTCCAACACGACGGCTTTGCTTCTTGATTGTGGGGTCCACAACTTTGTTCAAACGGGTTTCCAAGTCCTGAAACACTTGGGAGAACTCTTTCCTAAATCACACCCTTCCGTTGTGACCTTCCTTACTGACCAAGATCTGGAAAATTCAGCCATATCCCTGGAAATCACTATCAATCGTGGTCGGTCCAACAAGGCTTAAAGCCAGGGGTCTTCAGACTTGGCCCTTTGATGACTTGCGGACTTCCAACTCCCAGAATTCCTCAGCCAGTGTGCCTGGCTGAGGAATTCTGGGAGTTGGAAGTCCACAAGTCATCAAAGGGCCAAGTTTGAAGAGCCCTGCTCAAAGCTAAAGTTGTTTCCCAGACATTGAGAAGACATTGAGTAAAGATGACCTACACGTAATTCTTCCGCCTAGCTAAGCAGAAAGAGTGGAGGGTGGGGGGAAAATCCAGTCTCCAAACTGTCCACCAGATCCTCAAATGTATGTTTCTTGTTTGGTTTTAATTCTGGTTCTAGGCTGGCACTGGAGGAACGTGCAGGAACACAGAACATCCCCGTGGCACTCTGCCACCCGTGGCTTCTTTCAGACCTCGGGACGGGAAATTCCAGCCCAACATCAGGTCCTGATTTTGTCAGGGACTTCTCCTTTTTAATCTGCTTTTTTGGCTCGCTCACCGCTCCCTTTCATGTTGCTGGACCCACGTCCTTGCCTCGGGACCGCCTGGCCCCCGTCTCTTTTGGCAGTTTCTACCCACGTAGCCTTGGTGCCAGCCTGGCTAACTTTGTGACTGGCATATGCAACGCCTCCCAAGTTTACAGCAAGGGGAGTTTTTTTCACGGGCTTGCTGGAATTATTGCCCCCCCCAAAAAACTTTTAAGGAAAGGGGACAGGGGTCACCCATCAAAACCTTGCAGGTAGTATCTAGATGGGGTTTAGCCCAACTTTGATCAAAATTGAGATTGCAGCTCTGTGTTTTTTTTCCAAGAAGAGATTTGTAAGTCCTTGACTTACAACAGTTCAAAGCTACGACGGCACTGGAAAAAAAACTGATTTATGACTGTTTTTTTGCGCTTATGGACCATTGCAGCCTTCCCCGGGGTCACATGATCAAAATTCAAGTGCTTAGCAACTGACTCATATTTATGACGATTGCTGGGTCCCTGGGGGGGGGGGGTCACAGGATCCCCTGTGTTTCTAAAGCAATGGGGAAAGACCCCACTTCAGCGTTTAGGAGTGATAACTCCTTGTGTTGAAAAAATCAACACGATGGCTTGGAGATGGGAGGAATAAGTTTGCAAAAAAATGAAAAAAAAAAATAAAATTGTCTTATTTTGGTTTTAAGGACTGAAATGGGGGAGCAAGCCCACCACCAGCCCCGCCTCAAAGCTCTTAGCCGCTGGCTTGCGGGCTGCAAAAAGTCCCATTTCCATGTTACAAAATACGACTTTTTTTTTGCTACGGTCAAAACTTCAGACCACACACATTTTTCTCAAGCGTGCTGCGACCTCACAGTAATTCTGACCTGCTGTGCCACCAGTACATTTCTCCATTCCTGAATTTTAAATTAAATTAAGTGGAAGCTTTGTGCGACACAATAGGCTCCAAAATGTACAAAACACAATTGGGATTCTGGGCGCATTAATGCATCGATTAAACAAACCGCCCTATGACCGGACCTGACTTTAGAATCATTTTTACTGTGGTTATTAAACGAATCGTGCCCATTAGGTGGTCATTAAGGAGACACAGCTTTCCCAATAGGCTTTTTTTGGGGGGGTCATAAACTGGGGTGAGAAAGTCATGATCACGTGACTGCAAGACTTTGTAGTTGTGGTAAACGCAATCGGGTTGTTGATTGCCCAAATTGTAATCACGTTATGCAGAATGCTGCGACAGCTGTAACCCGGAGGACTTTTTTCCAAGGCTGTCTCAACGTTGAACCATCGTTAAGGCAAATGGTCATAAAACAAGGACTTACCTACATAATTGTGTTTCGGGGCAGGGAAAAATAAAAATAAAAGAACGCCCACGTACCTTCTTTTCATGATACCAAAATGCGAATCCTCTTCTTGTTTGACATGAGGGTGGTGTCCGTTGATCTTCTCAACCTCCTTGAAGTTGTCGCTGTGTGAGAAAAGAGTGGGGGGCTCCTTTTTCAGGGTCCGGGAGGGGGGCAACGGAACCGTTCTCTTCTCCGCCAAACGTCCCCGATTCTGGAAAATGGGAAGGAAAAAGAGAAAGAAGATAAAGGAAGAGAAGAACTCTCAAAGGACGGCAACATGAATATATATATATATATATATATATATATATATATATATATATATATATATATATATATATATATAAACAGATTAATACTGAAGCATCCATTAATCCAAAAATTATATATTGAGAACTCTGAAGAGGGAGAGAGCAGTAGAGGAATGATGATGTGGAGAGAGGGAGAAATAAAACAGGCACAGAAGGAATTAAGCCATGATGGTTACCCAATCTTGCAGACTTTTATGATGCCACCCTTGACAATATTTTGCAGAATCTTGCACTAGGTGTTTTTGCTACATCTCTCAGAATCTCCTCTCTGCTGTTACAGGTGAGGCTATCTTACAAACCGCCATTTATCATTGCCACTGGAGACAAGCATGGGGTCAGCTGCCAAGGTCCGACAACTGTGAGACTTTGTCTAGTGAGAACCCACAAAGGGATGGGTCCATCAGTTCCTAAAAGCATTTACCCGTATATGCCGCCGTATTAGGCGACCCGGCGTATAAGACGACCCCCGTCTTTATAGCCGGGCCGCATTCCTAGAACGTCGTCTTATACGCCGGAAACTACCAGTATTTCCGGCGTATAAGACGACTCGGCGTATAAGACGACCCCCGTCTTTGGCGCCGATTTCAGCGCTCGCGGAAGTCGTCTTATACGCCGGCATTTACGGTAATTGTGTCCCCTATTTCCCTATTCCTTTTCTTTTTCTCTTTTTGTAGAAAAATAAAGAAGTAAAAAAGCCAAAAACAGTAGCTGCATCATATCTTGAGTTGGAAAAGTTTATCCATAGTCCATCTCTCTCTCTCTCTCTCTCTCTCTCTCCCTCCCTCCCCCTCCCTTCCTTCCCTCTCTCTCCATCCATCCATATTTTCTTTCCTTCCTTTCCCTTCTATCTGTCCATTCTCTCCTTCCTTCCTTCCCTCTATCCCAGTGGTTCTCCACCTGTGGGTCGGGACCCCCTTTGGGGTCGAACGACCATTTCACGGGGGTCGCCAAACAACGCAGTCCGCCATTTTTTCCCCCTTTTCCTTAGCTGTGCTACTTCCTTTTATTCTATTGGCTTTGGAAAGCCAATAGAATAGACTCTCTTGAATAGAGTCTAATTCTATTGGCTTTCAAAAGCCAATAGGAATTGTCCAGGCTGGCTCTGCCCTGCTGAGCCCGCCAAAAGTCCCCTTCTGCAAACGGTGCTGCACCCGTCGAGTAGTCCTCGACTTACGACCTGTTGGGGGTCGCGGCATTAAAAAGGTTGAGAACCACTTCTCTCTCTCTCTCTCTCTCTCTCTCTCTCTCTCTCTCTCTCATACATACACACACACACACACACACACACACACACACACACACACGAGTTTTCACAAATCATGGACTTTTTTTTTAATAAAAAAATCCTTCCACAAAACGACAATCCGAAAGAGAAAAAAAAACAACAATTTCTCTCTTGAAATTGGGAGACAAAAACACCCAACATTCAAACAATTAAAACTTCTCCAACAAAGCCCCCACCCAAAAATCATATTATTTTGCAGTGCACAATTCCGGGGTGGGGGGAGAGGAAGGAGGCCTTGAGATGGGAAAACAAGGGATGGGGGGCACTGCTTAAGAAAGTTCTCAAAGGAGGTTGAGAGATATCTGCGCTCTGCTTGGGAGATAGAACAAGTGCCAGAAATTGGAGAATAATTCCTCCCAGTAGGATCGTGATGAGCTTTTAATTGATCCCAGAGACATGGCAGCCTTGGATAAATCAGGATTTGCAACGTGTGGGGGGGGGAGGAACTGGAGAGAAAAAAAACTCACAAAGCGGAAGAGATGGAAAGGATGGGGTGTTTAACTGTGCAGGGACACCATCCTTCAATATTTGGGAAGGAAGGAAGGAAGGAAGGAAGGAAGGAAGGAAGGAAGGAAGGAAGGAAGGAAGGAAGGGAGATTCAAAGAAGATGGATGGATGGACAGATGGCTTATTTCAAGAGAAAGGAAGGAGCGAAGGATAAATGGAAGGAATGAAAGATAAAAGGGAGGGAGGGAGGAACATTCAAAGATGATGGATGGAAGGATGGAATAGATATCCAGTCATTCGTGCTATCTTACACCACAACCTCCTCAGAGTAGGTAGGAGATACCCTCTTATCTTGCAGCCTTCCTGTTATTGGTTAATGATGACTAATTGTTTACATTGTCAACATTCCCGTCCATCATTCAGACAGTCCCTACCAAGTCAGCTAATGGATTCTTTTTCAGGCATGCAACCTGTCACTCATCACTTGACCGAAGGAGCACACCACACTTGTGGCACATGAGAACATCCATCTGTAATCAAACTAACCAAAGGTAGCTTCTTGAAATCTGTCAGGATTTCAAGCAGCTGCTGAATAATTCTACGTCAGAAAACACAGAATAACAAGAGTTGGAAGGGACCTTGGAGGTCATCTAGTCCAACCCTGTTCAAGCAGGGGACCCTATACCATGTCAGACAAATGGCTGTCCAGTCTCTTCTTCAAAACTTCCAGGGTTGGAGCATTCACCGCTTCTGGAGGCAGGTTGTTCCACTGGTTAATTGTTCTCACTGTCGGGAAGTTTCTCCTTAGTTCTAGGTTGCTTCTCTCCTTGGTTAGTTTCCACCCGTTGCTTCTTGTCCTGCCTTCATGTGCTTTGGAGAATAGGTGGACCCCCCTCTTTTGGGGGGCAGCCCCTCAAATATTAGAAGACTATCAGGTCTCCCCTAGTCCTTCTCTTCATTAAACTAGACAGACCCAATTCCAGCAACCATTCTTCATATGTTTTAGCCTCCAGGCCCCCAATCATCCTTGTTGCTCTTCTTTACACTCTTTCCAGAGTCTCAACCTTATCAAATAAATCTTCAGGATGTCTTCATGGGAAGGGCTATTATGGGAAAGGTTTTCAGAGAGAAACACCCCCCCCCCAGCAGTTGTCAACAAGCGAACACTTTGAACTGCTGAACGATAGGCACAAAATTAGCCTAGAATATATGCACAAAACTAATATGCATAAAGTCAATCGCGTGCATAAAATGAAATCTTGAGTCATCTCAGACTGCCGGGATTGGGGTTGGAGGAACGCCAAGGGGTCAAATTTGGGAAGTATGGCTTGAAAACCTGTTTTCCAAGTCTCCAAAGTCAGCAGCCAGACAGCTGCTTAAGAGGAAATCGTCGTTTTTTCAGAAAGCTACATCTAAGCCATGCCGTGCAGAACAGGAAACAGCATTCGGAAGTTGGTTGCCTTTAGAAGCAAAACTTTTGGTTAAGAAAATATTTCTTCTCGGCATGGAACAAGATTCATAAAAGCAGGCTGGCCTTGAGTTTCCTCAACCCAGTTCCTGACAGCAAGGGTTTAATTTAAAGCAGGAGGATATCAATTCAATTTTCAGCAGTTTTCTTCCAAAATCAGGCACCCGACGGCCCAAACTGGGGGCTAGTTTTGTGGCTTCTCAAGAGACACCCGTTCTTCGTATGTTTTCGTCTCCAGGCCTTTAATCAACTTAGCTGCTCTTCTCTGCACTCTTTCCAAAGTCTCAACATCTTTTTTTTACAATGTGGTGACCAAAAACATCAGTAATAAAAGCTAGTTTTGACATGCTTGGAATATCTTCTGAAAACCAGACTGTTAGCAAATACAGTCACATCTATTCTCTGTTAGTCTAAGTATTCAAACTTTCTGAGCAAGAAGCAAACTGTTTTATATATATTTGTAATCTCTGCACTGAGTTGACCAGCTTGAAAGTTAGAAAAAGAAGGATTAAAGTTAGAACAGCCATGTTCTCTAGAGCACATACATGGCTTTGCAAAATATTCTCCAAGCAGAATAGTACATTTATGTAACTCTTGTCTGTATCCCAGAAAGATTATTCAATTGCACACAAATTTTTTCTCCTCTGGCTTCGTTTAACGTCTACGTGATTGACTTAGCCACTGCATTTAGTTCATTTAATAAGGGTAGCAAAAATGGCTGTAAAAACAAGTCTGGTCACGTCACTGCTCATTTAACAACTGCATCACTTAGCGACCGAAATTCCCCGTCATACGTCAAGGACCACACAAGCCTCAGCAACCGGTCCCTTGTTCTATGCAGCCCACCTGAAGCAGGGGTCTTCTAACTTGGCCCTTTGATGACTTGTGGACTTCAACTCCCAGAATTCCTCCGCCAGGCACGCGTGCCTGGCGGAGGAATTCTGGGAGTTGAAGTCCACAAGTCATCAAAGGGCCAAGTTAGAAGACCACTGAGCTCCTAAACCATCAACCAACCTTTTTTGCAAGCTGAATGGTTTGCAAACCATCCCCGAAACTAAACCAAGGTGGGCCCTGATCCGATTTCGCACTCCTGGTGGGGGGGGTCTTTAACCCACCGGCGGTTTGGCCTCTCCAGTCAACACAGCTGTTTGCAATTTCAGCCCCTGCAAATCACTTGCAAAGTGGCTCCTTGGAGCAGTCTCAATTCCTACACGGAACGGAGACAAGAAAAGCCCTGGCCTTTTGCTCAAGTGTCTTTAACAGGTGCAGGAAGCCATATTTCATATTTAGGGCAGACTGACAAGTGTCTGGGCCTTCGGAGTTTGGCACAAAGTCCAGCGAGGCTGCGGAGGGAGGAGGGAAACGGCAGAAGGGATTTGGCTGAAGGAACAAAGGCTGGGAGAGTCGCCAATCCCAAACTTTTAATATCATATCTAGAGAGTCCTCGATTTACAATATACAGTTGGTTTGGGGACCGTCCAAAGTTACACTGAAAAAAGGAACTTAACGAACCTTTTTCATACTTACGACCGTTGCGGCCTCCCCCAGGGTCACGTGATCTAAATTGGGACACTTGGCAACTTACTCGGACGTACGACGGTTTGCAGTGTGTCCCGGGGTTCACGCGATCCCATTTTGTGACCTTCTGACAAACAAAGAGACTGGACAGCCATTTTGTCTGAAATGGTGTAGGGTTTCCT